AGGATAACCTTCACGACTGAATACCTTAGTCAAAAAATAAATTACAGTTTTGGCTGTAATATTTGGGCAAAACGCAACTTCTGGCCATTTACTTCGGTAATCGATTAATGAGATAATGTAACGCTCTTTCGCAGGTGCAGAATAATTTGGACCTACGAAATCAATCCCGAGCTTTTGCCATGGACGTTCTGGCAATTGTACCGGCTGCATAGGAGCCACTCGTGTTTTCGCAGACTTGTCAGCAATTTGGCAAGTTAAACAATTAGTAATTGTGTCCGTTACGTGTACGTCCATTTTAGGCCACCAGTAAAGATCTCTTAATATTTGCTTGGTTCGCACAATACCTTGATGATTTTCATGGGCCAGATTAACTAATTTGGAGGTAAGTGCTGCTGGTATTATCACGCGTTGACCACGAAAAATAATATCATTATGAATCAAGAACTCATCTCTAATACGGGAATAGGGCTTAATGATTTCTGGAATATGCTTTTTATCATTCGGCCACCCATTATGTATGTATTCTTTAAGCTGCATGCATACGTCATCATTATTTGTAGCCTGTTCTAATTCAATGCGTGTGATAGCGCTATAAGTATCGTTTAGAACAACTTGACAAACTGCATCACTGTCATCTTCATTTATCGCGGAATCGAATGTAGGAATAGGTAACCTCAAAAGGGAATCGGCAATTCTGTTCTGAACGCCTGGTTTGTACTTAACCGTATAATTGTAATGTAGTAACCGAGCGTTCCATCTTGCGATTCGCATTGGTCTACGACCTGTACCTTTTGAAGAAAGTAATGTAACCAATGCCTGATGATCAGTACGAAGGGTAAAATGTCTCCCCCATAAATAAGTATGCCATTTTTCTATAGCCCAAACACAAGCAAGTGCTTCGCGTTCTCCGACTGAGAAATTTTGTTCGGGTGCAGTTAATGTTCGAGACGCGCAAGCAACTGTGACTTCCGAGCCGTCACTCTTTACCTGTGTAAGTACCACTCCTAACCCATAACCACTCGCATCAGTTGTGACAAAAACTTGGAGATCAGGGTCGAATAGAGCAAGACCAGGGCTATTAATAATATCGGATTTAATATCCTGAAACGCGGAATTTGCTTTGTCTGTCCATATAAATGGTTCAATGGATTGTACCTCTCGCAATGCGCTTACTTTTGCTGAAAAATTTGGCACAAACCTAGCATAAAAACCTGCGAGTCCTAGAAATGACTTAAGTTGGAGATTAGTCTGGGGTATTGCAGCTTTAGCAATTCCATGGACTAATTCGTCACTAGGGTGAATACCTTTGTCATCGATAACATGACCTAATACTTTCATTGAAGGTATCCCGAACTCACATTTGTCATTTAGCGTCATACCACGTTCATTCAAACGGGTAAGCACTGAAAATAATGTTTTATCATGCGCGGCTTTGTCGCGTCCGTAAATAATAATATCATCGATAAAACATTGTACGTTTGGAATTCCTGCTAATACAGTCGACATCATTTTTTGGAAACATGACGGGGCTGAAGATAAACCAAAACAAACTGTACGAAATCGGAAAACACCATCATGTGTAATAAATGATGTAAGGCCGCGACTGTCGGAATCTAATTCCAGTTGGTAATAAGCTGATTTAAGATCGAGCTTAGAAAAATATGTCGCGCCTTTCATCTCGCTTAACATTTCTTCAATTGAAGGAAGAGGAAATTTGTCCTCAATAACAGCTTCATTGGGTTTTCTTAAATCAACACATATGCGGATTTTTACCAGTCTTTTTCCATGCAACTACAATTGGTGAAACCCACTCTGGCGCTTCAGCGCGTTCAATAATCCCTGCGTCTAGAAGACGTTGTAATTCAGCGGACACGGCTTGACGCACAGTCAATGG